TTTTAAAATTAGCCAATTGCATTTATATGTTTCATAGACCACTTGCTTTACAAAGAGCTGAAACTCTTGAAACATTAAATAGCTTCCTATTAAAGTTTATATGAAGATAAAAATAATGTATCCTCTGTCATTTTTAAAGTAATTAAAAATGTGATTCAGCATATGAAATATCAATTCTTGTATAAATTCAGAAATAAATTTACTGGGGCATATTTACTGGGATTATCATTATCTTCTTACAAATTAAGGTTGAGCAATAATTCCCCCATATTCTAACTAATCCCTTATCCAGTGAGAAGACCTACTGCAAACAACTCCACCTTGGATATCCTTTGTTTCACTGTGTTGGATTGTACCTCACTCCAGATTACTTGTGAAAAAATCCATACCACGTAGTCCTTGAAGGAAAAGATAAACACATATAAGATTTAAAAAGTGATTCATCCTCAATAAATTACTAATGTACAACAAAATGTCGGATATGTGGTTTCCTGCATCCAAGTAGATTAGTAACTACATTTTTTCTCTCAAGTATGCTCAGTATTCTCCTCTCGTGCCATTATTTATGTATGGAGAGGATAGCCAGTGGTAGAATCAGGCTGTGAACTTTCTTTCTCCACAATTCTCTGTGGGAGCATTGGCCAGAGCAACTATTATTGAAAAATCTGTTCCTCCAAGTATGACTGGTTCCTATTTGGTAAACCTCAGTCTTTCCTGGTTTGGGCATTCTTTCTGGACTAACCAATCCAGGAAATACTTTGTTAAGTACATTGCTATTTTTCTTTCATCTTTTGTAAAGTTTTAAACGTTTCTTATAGTTAACACTTACTGGAATTGTGTTTTAAATTACATGATTTCAGTACTAATAGCATTCTTTTCTCACAGACTATCCAGATTATGATTGGCGTCTTTGAAGTTTTCATGTGGTATCTCCTAATGGTTTTGTATATGGGACAAATTAAAGGAGTCTTTGGAACATACGAACCTATAACTTACAAAGCAGGATGTGCTTTATGGGGAATTTTTGTGAGTAAAATACATACTGATTTAATCACTTAATAAGTAATATTCCTACCAACAGTGGAAGGTAGGGAACAGTTTATAAACAAGGTTTTCAGGAGAATTATGTAACTAAATCCTATGTTGGTAATTTATTCAAAGTCAAATTCTTTTTTCCAACAGATAAGTATTACGTACCTTTAATTTACAAGTGCTATTCCAAGATATAATGGATACAGGAATAAGTACACAATGAGATCCATAGGGTAGATTGTCCCTAGGTATGTGAAAGACAAAGAATCTTAACTGTAATATCCATTAGCATGATTAACTTTCATATTTAAAGTCTTCACTTTAGCCTCCTTGCACAACGAGTCAATACTTATTTTCTAAATTTATCATTACTGGGACTCTTCTGTGGTTTTTAGACAGCCATTAGATGGGCAGAAAACCTGGGGAGTGTGGCACCCTAGAAGCCAAGTGAAGAAATCGTTTAAAACAATGGGGAAAGATCAATGGTATTATGGTTTGTTGTTTTGTCAAATAAGAGGAGGGCTAAGAATTGACCACTGGACTTAGCAGTATCAAGGCCAATAGTAAACATAAGTATCTTCAGTGGAATGGTGAGGCAAAATCCTGATTGGAATTGGTTTAAGAAATACTAGGAAGAGAGGATTTAGAGACAGCAAATACAGATACCTCCTTTAAGCACTTTGCTGTAATGTGGTATAGAGAAATGAAGTGATAGGGAAGTTTGGGATAGAAGAGGATTGGTTTGTTTGTTTCTGTGAGTTAGAATGAATATTATCATATCTTTGTTGAAAGGACTGAACCAGAAGAAAGAAAATTGATGATATGATATAAATGGGGGGAGGATATTGGAATCAAGTATTTGAGTAGGCAAGAGATGATGAATTTTAGTACAAATAGCTAGGAGAATGGACAGGTCATCTCTGTCTGTGGTTCTCAACTAAAGGTGATTTTGCCCCTCAAAGGACATTTCATAATGTCTGGAGATATTTTGGGATTTCACAGCTGATGGTGTGCGTCTAGTGGGCAGAGGCTAAGGATGCTGCTAAATAGCCTAAAATGCATAGCATAGCCCTTCACAAGAAAAGATTATCCAGCTGATTACAAATTGTGTTAAGGTAGGATAACAGGAGAGAAACGCAAAGTAAGAGAGAGAAAAGGCATGTTTTGAAATGATGGGAGATTGTGGAAGTTTTGTTCCAATAGCTTCAAATATCTCAGTTAATTGGCCAGATCATAAGCTGAAAGTGAGGATGGGCAAGTAGATTGGTTGTCTGAGGAGAGAGGGGAGGATATGAAATAGTCATCTAGGAAAAGTGTGAAAGTGCATGGATTATGGAAAAGTAGTTTGATTTTTCATACAGCATTTAAGGACTCACTTGAGGTTTAGGAACATGAGTGTATTGGTATAAGGGAGTATTTGTAATGGTTAACCATGGAATTTAAGTTGATACCAGAGAGAGGAATTTAACAGGTGTCAGAGGGTGTCAGATTACAGATCTAGGTTGGCTCAAAAGATTGTTAGAGTTTTAATACTCTAAGGCATGAGCTAGAAAGATAGCAGGTGGTGGTCAGGGTGGGATACTTGAAATTGAGATGTAAAATGTATAACAAAGACAAGAGAATGAATATGGGAGTGAGTAACTAAGATAGGTCAAGCCCAGGGTGTTAGAAGAATCATACATACATGTATATATTGAAATCACCAAGTATTAAGTGGCGTTGGAGAGGGAATCAAAGAGACAAGAATTAAAATCATCTGGAAAGAGGAATGACCAGGGGGTCAATAGATGACTTCAAACATGAAGGATAGTGGGTGATTGAACCTGATGGCATGTGATCCAAAGCTAGAAGAGATCCAAAGCTACAAGAGAAAGAATAGTTGGAAGCAGCAATAAGGAGCAAGGAAATCACTTAACCCATGCTTAGAACAGATGAAATGAGGGCTGTAGGAGACAAGATGGCTGCCACTTGAGGTGGGGCAAGTGATCAGTAGAGAAAACAATGATCTCTAGGTGATCCCCTGACTTTATGCATACACTGGCTCATAAGTGTCAAAGGATTGCCTTGGGAAAAAAATAGGGGAAAAAGAGCAAATTTTCATACAAAATCCAAATAAATGATGCATGGTTCATAAATGACACATAGCTCATAAATGATGCACCAGCTAGCTCATGAGTGATAAATGATAAACGATGCACTGCCTCATAAATGTCAAAGCATTGCCTTGGAAAATTAGGGGAAAGATAGTGAATTTTCAGACAAAATCCTGATAAATGATGCAGGTCTCTTAGTGTTTAATAATTCATGTTATAAAAACAGCACATTTAACTCCTAGGATAAATTATCTAAAATTTCAGTTAAATGTAATCCAATGCAAAACTTCTCATTTAGGCATAAACTTTGAAAGCCATTTTATGAAGCACATGGTAATCTAGTTAGAAATAATCTAGTTGAAGAGTATTCTAGTTCAAAATTCACAAGATATTTTCACTTTATTTATATTCTAAAATAGTTCTTTTTTCTTTTAGAGACAGGATCTTACTCTGTCACCCAGGCTGGAGTGCAGTGGCCCAATCATAGTTCACTGCAACCTTGAACTCCTGGGCTCAGGCCATCCTCCTGCTTCAGCCTCCCGAGTAGCTGGGACTACAGGCCCACACCACCATACCTGGCAAATTTTTTTGTGTTTTGTAGAGATGGGGTCTCGCTATGTTACTCAGGCTCATCTAGAACTCCTGGCCTCAAATGATCCTCCTGCCTCGGCCTCCCAAAGTGCTGGGATTACAGGCGTGAGCCACTGCAACCTGGCCTATATTCTGAGATAGTTCTTACCTTCACTGCGCGACTCCTTAGAAATCTCAGCTTTTGTTATGGAATGAAGTGCTGAATGTGTAAATTTAAAGTTATCCTTGAGGAGTTTGTAGCTTCAGGTTTGGCCTTTCCACATATGGTATGTCGCATGAATGCTGTTTTTCCAAAAATTAGTATTTGACTTGGATCTTTGCCCAAACCACTAAAACACATAAAAGAAGGAATATTTCAAGAGAATTGTGCAGCCCACCTTCAGATAATATGGGATAGATTTACACTTCTTAGAAATAAAGTTCCTTGACATGAAATAATGGAACCTCTTTTTTTAAAAAACAAAGGCAAAGGCATGAGTAACAACCATTACCTTAATAATGACTATAGTCTCAGCTAAGAGACTGTATATTTTGTATAATCACAATGTAGAATAGACTCTTGGACCATCTTTTCCATATCTTGATATGTACACAGTAATTATAATCAATAGCATCATTTCATTAGGAAGGATAGCATAAGAATTAATAATCGAATGAGTTATATATGAGGTAGCTCACAAACATATAAGCAAACTTGGTTTCTGGTTCAGGACTGCTAAGGCTGTCTTTGGCATATACCACAACCTGAATTCTGCCCACTATCCCGTATGTGTTTCTATCACAAGCGACCTTAATGTTACCTTTCAATTGATTACTGCATGACAGAAACGTGTCCTGACCACTTCTACTTATATTTTTTCCCTTATATTTTGTTACTTTTAGTATTCTAAAAATAATTGACTTAGAAGAGGATTGTTAAAAATACATTTTAAGTTGGCAAGCATTATCAATGA